GGTACTTGTACCAACATAGAATGACCCTGCCTTTAAGGTATCGTTTTGTAAATAATGGTCGTCCTTTGCTTGTGGTTCGAAGTACTTATACGTTCGACACAAATATAGATTTCGTGGCAAGCAGAATGAAAAGGACAAGGGGAGCATCCTACGTGCTATAAAACACCTACAAGAGTGAGTTTGACTGTACGGGGGGGGGCAAAAAAAGCCATTTTGCCCAGGTCAAACTTGGACCTTTTCTTCTTCACCAAGATTGCCTTCGTTGACGGGAGTTCCTCAGCAAAATATTCTCCAAATATTAATATCGTCCCCCTATAAGTACACGCAGAGCCTCCTTCACTACCCTCACCGTCTTCAGAATATGACGTCATCTGTCACCGTTGTCGAGCTCAGGGAGGCCTACAGTATCTGCTTCAGCCTGAAGCTCTTACATAATTTCTTGGATCGATTTACCGTGGGACAGTTGCCTAGAGGCATTTGCTCTAACTATGGAAACCCCTCAGAGCCCGCCTTTCGGGACCCGTAGTAACGGTACACGATCATTCGAGAATCCCATTGAGCTCGAACAGAGCACCATGTTTCCGGGGCGAACTTTTTTGATGCCGTCCACGTACATGGCGCTGAGCAAAGTGTGATTAAATCGTATGCAGATCCAACCCCGAAACAGGGATCGAGGAAAGAAACAAATACATGGTTTCAATTCATGTTGCAGTACTTGGGTGTGGCTTTTTATGAAAGCGGCTAAAGTCAAAAACATTTTCCGTAGCAAGCTCTACCTCCAAATGTCTACCCTTAGGTAAGAGAAGTGAAACCGATATCAATTTCAGCTAGATCTGCGAGTGAATCTCATCCAGAACGTCTCTGCATATGCGTTTGATGGACTGTCTGAGCTTAACAGACTTTCACTCGCTGGAAACTACATCAGGTTGGAGAACACTCAGTTTAGAGATATTTCAATCCAGCTGCGTTTGCAGTGACCAGGCAAAACACTCGACAATGCGGTGCTTCCAATACTTTCTAGTAGATACTTGAGCACCTGAACTTATTTTGCCACAAGCCCTTCAGTGGCTCACCGAAATGTACGCTTTTTTTAACACGTTGACGACAGCATGACGCGCATGCGCGTCAGAAGTTTACCCGACCCTGGCTAGTTTTTCATGGTTTATTTGGCCTTTTTCATACGAAAAACTGTGAGTCACTTACCAGTAGTGGAATTATTGAAGAAGTTATGACGATTGTGGAAAAAAAATAAACAAAAAGTTGCCAAGGTACACGCATAAGGGGCTGTCGTCAACGTGTTAATAAGGTTCTGCCCCTCGTCAAATAGTGTGTTGTGTGGATCTAGCAAAAAAAACACTATCCAACGGATGGGTTATTCAAAGCGTAGTTATGAAGACCATTAGTTACGTTTACCAGCGGTTACGAGTTATGAAACGGGTTGACCTTGCAATTTCTCTATAACTCAAAAAAGAGGGATGCATGCTTACATAGGTTGTTAACGCTGCGTTCCCACTCTCAACTGCCCTATCAAATTTGCTGGGTCCAATAAACAATACGCCAAAGTCATGCGTGAGGTCATCCAACGGGGATTTTTGCAGGAAAATTGAAAAACAAATTTGGACTGGACTCGACAATCTCAAGGAAGTTGATCTCGGATGGAACGAAATCAAGGAGCTGTCATCTGATGCATTCGCACCTCTGACTAGCAGTCTTGTAACGCTCAACGTTCGCCACAATCCATTGAAGACCGTAAGTAAACGAGTAATTTCGGACGTATTTACACACACGCATTCTGCACTTCATTTATAACATTCCATATTCAGATGCCTCCTACCGGACTTAAGAATTTGCAATCACTGTTTCTCAGCGAGTGCCCATTAGTAAGCCTTGGATCTGAACTACTAAAAGACTATCCCGCATTAGAGGTAGGTTGGAAATTTTAAAATGCCTGTTTACCGAATTCCAGAATCTGAAGGTACTTCTGGAAGACGTGGCAAGCAGCACTTTAATTCATGGCATTGCTAAAATCTCAAAATATCAGCTACCTTCCATCAACACCATTACCTGCAATGGTTACTAGTATATGTGAGCCCTCTGATGCACAGGTAAGGAGGCATGATAGGAAATCTGCTAGCTGTTGCAGCACACAACTGAGATTTGAGAGAGGTATTTATGACCTTGGCAAGAAGTAAGAAATTCATGAATAAGAGAAGAACCAGTTAACGGAGCGACCGCAGAATTATTTTGAACACGCGCTCTACGTTTCCAGACTTCATTTCTGCGCTAAACCTTTTCCGCGCTACTATTAGATCAAATACAAATGGTTTGTACCTACTGTTAGTCCGAAACTTGAAATCGTTGACGTCTAATTCACGGCCTATCTAGCGCGCGTGCCATATCTGCCTTACTGTCGGGAAAAAATTGAATGTAATTTTTTTGTTTCAAAAGTATGTGGACACTTAACAATATACAAAAACATAACTGATATTAGAAATCAGTAGGGCCTCCAGAGTTTCCAAATGGCTCAAGTATCCTGTTTGGCATAATCTGAGCCATGTTTGCGATAGTTGCTTCATCGATCTTGGCTCAAGTAGCCTCTACCGCCGCCTTCACTTCATCCGCGGTTATGTCTCCCGGTTGTTGAATTAAACTCCTTGATCAAAGGTTCCCTATAGAGTTGCAGTAAAGAGAACACACGAGCCAATCTATCGCTTCCGCACCACTTCAATTGAGTCATTCTTTGGTAGATTGCGAAGCATTGACGGACGCGTTATTCTGTTGCACAACATGACGAAACATGCAATCTTCACCGCGCTTCTCTTGGAAGAGGCAACAGAGGATACTGAGCATATTTCGATAATCCTTACTGTCATATGCAATGATAGGAAGGCCAGTTCCGAGTTAATGTTGCTTGCGATGCCGCCAGACCACCAACAAGCCTCTTCAGAGGTTCCTTTTCAAGAACACGAGCGGATTCACCGCAAACGACTCCAGTAGTGACAAAATCCATCCGGCCCGTCAAGGTCGAATTATTTTCATCAGATAAAATCACCCAAAAAGAAAATGTGCATAAAAGTTGTTTGCGTTGAAAATAGAAAATACTCAAAAACCGTGTCCTGTCCCCGTGTCTTCTATGTTGTCATGTTTTCACGAGCAGATTCCAATCTTGCTAATTTGTACTGAGCCTTGAAGTGAAGCTTTTCAGCGGCTATGAAGTGGTATCTTTATTTTAGCTTATGAGGCGCTAAGTGATCGTTCTAGAGGCTGGTAGACTCATCTGAACCCGGACAGATAACGAAGAATTCGACACGATGCTGGCTATTCTTTTGTCGTTCTGACGTTTCGTCTTCAAGTCAAAGATCGTGGACGGCTCGCTGCGTGCGGAGTATAATTTCAGGGTTCCGGATAAATTTTCAATGTATGAAGGAGAACGACCAAGTTTTAGTGCGATTTCTCGATTGGAACGTCCAGTAGCCTGCAGAGCCCTGATCTGAGCTTGTTCGTCTTCAGTAAGAAGTCTGCCACGATTACGCATGGAGGCGAAATGAAGACATCCAGTTCGGTCCAAAACCGGTAGAAATCTCGGTGTCAAAATCAGATCTCCTCCAAGTGTCTTCATGCTTTTGAAGCGAAAAAAAATCAACCCAGAATTTTTTTTACGAAAGGCAATTTTATTTGCTTAACTTACAGTGATACGTTATCGATCACGAGGAATCTATTGAGGAGGGTTCCATAGCACAAAACCTCTTGATTACCTCTTGAACATGGATTTTGAGATATCCACATACTTTTGAAACGCACTGTATTCGTTTACGCTTCTCCAATCTTATAATCCTCGGTTTAAATGAACACATTTATGCTGATTTCGAAATTGCAAGTCAGACGCTCGATTACCCGAATTTCCTGCCCCTTTGAATGCATTATCCACTTAAAAGCATCCTCTCTGGAAAATTCTTGAATTCTTTTCCAACACAAATATGTCAGCTATGACCACTAGAGACAACATACAAAGATTCACGCACAGAGATTCATTTTCCGGAGGAAACAAACTCATGAAAACCTTGCTCTGCGGACAGTCGAAGGTAGGTCGCACGGCCCCAAAGGCGGTACATGGAAAGAGTGAGCTCTGAGGCGGCCATGCATCAGGCAAGGCATTGAAAAAATCGATTAAAGCGTTCAATTCGGGAAATAAAACAAAACGATCGATAGAATGTGATGCAGTAGAAGTGCGAGTATCAGTGCAATAAGCAAAAAGGACAAAAAGTTTCTAATGACGGCATTTCGAGAACTAAATAGAAGTGCTACCGTCGAGAGCATATGTGACAGATAAACGGTAGGTGAACGCGTAACAATCTATAGGTTTTTTGAGTTGTTTGTGAAATCAAACACCATTTTTTGTACTTTTCGTTCTTATCGGGAATGATAGGTCTCGAGCCAGTGATTCGGGGTTAAGATAGAGTCACAATTTTTCCGGGAGGAGTTTTAATGGTGAGGATCGGGGTTTTGGGACGAAATTTAGCATCTCCGCGAGAAAACTCAGTGACGCGCAAGCGAAGACCATATACACAAATGTCGGGACGATTTAGTAAGGTCGAAGCGCTAAGGCCCTATGCAATATAAGTCCCGCTCAAAGCCATTGACCCCACTCACAAATCAGTGCTATTTCCCTCCACCGCTACTGGAAAGGGGTCTGGAGGTTGTTTTAATGGTTTCTTCCCGTTCATTCATTGAAGGAATCCTTCGCGGAAATTTCCTGTATTCCTCTTTGACATGAATATGTCATTTGTGATCACTGGAAACAGCACACAAAATTTCGCGCATGAATATGTTCTCGTAGAAAAACGAACGTCCAAAAACTATTAGGTCGTGAAGAAAGTTCTTGCGCTTTTGGACCTTGATTTTCAAATGCCTGTATCTCGGCTCATTCGAAAGCTTTTTGATTGGAGTAAAGACTGTTAGAATCCACAAACTTCTGCCAATGACAGCTGCGTGGAGTCAGCCCGATAGTGCAGAATACTGGAGCCCTAGAGACGATGAATCCGGCAGAGGTCGTTCCCGCATCATGTTGGTTTTTGAAGCAGAACTCTTTGGAGAAGCTATACAGGTAGTCGAGAAAGTGGCAAATTATAGGCAAAAGGTCTACCAAGTAGGATGTTCGCAGGACTGATTCGTAGCCAATCTTGTTCAACTTCTGCAGGGTTCGTTGTAGAATGTGCGTCCGAGCTTCCTGTCAGGGACGAGCCGGTTCCTTTATAATAAGGAATTTCGAGCATATGTGCCAGAGTTCTAGGAGTAGTTTTACACATTATCATGAGTACTTTTTCCACATTAACAGATCCACCTGGTTACGGAAAGCTAGACCAGGCGCTGACCTTATGAAAGTCACCTCAACCTTCCTTCAGTAAAGTTCCACTTTTGCAAAGTTTGTAGGGCCTGATCGCGGTCCGCCACTTCACCAAAGGTCCGTTTATTATAGCAAAAAATCCGCTCTTTGCAAATGATCAAAAGTTCAGGTCGTTTTCATGGCATGAAACAAGCTAGAACGCGGCGAACAACCCTTCAAAACGGTGAGCTGTCGCGGCACGCCCTATTTGAATTATCGGGACTTTCCAGCTCTTCCCGTTCATGCACATGTGCGATCATTTTAGAAGGAACCTTCTCAATAGTTTTGTGCAAATGTGCTTCAGCCAGAACGTTCGACTAATCGTTGGCGTTGTCCAATCTCCGATCACCACCCTCACAATCTTCAGGGCTCTCGCTATTCTAACAAAAGCTTTTTGAACAATCGCTTAAGACCATATTTATTGCGAATCTCAGCCATGTGCGTCTATAATATCTTGACCTGCTCCCTCTCCATACTGGCCTGTTTTGAGCTAGGAAAAGGAAATCATGCAAATTTGCTCTTGGAGTATGCCGTATTCAAGGCCTCAAAAGATGACAACTAAATGATAAGAAACATAGCTAGCCTAGCTATTAGATAGATCATGAAAAGCTCTTCAAAATCACGTACAGCTCATCGGCACCTTGCTTGAATTCGTAACAAAATAAAGTGTTCAAAAACGAAACACCGAAAAGCGCAAGAACTTTCTTCACGACCTAATAAAACTACACTCTATGGACAATCGAAGGTAATTCGGGCGGAGCCAAAGGGGAGGCATGGGAAGAAGTTGGCCTTCGGCCGGCTACGTATCAGGCAATGAAAGAATTGGGTTAAAGCGCGCGATTTCAGAGAGTAGAGACAAATCGATCGATAGTATAGGATGGAGTAGAAGTGTAAGATGTGATTGCAACAAAGCAGAAGGTCAGAAAGAGATTCTAGTGAGGGCACTCCAAAATTCAATAGGAAGCATCCCCATCGCCACGTCCGTGAGCACTTTGAGCGCGTAGCAGCCCTTCCAATTTTTCGATTTTTTTTTCACCAAATCAAAAGCAATATTTCTGTCCTCTTCATTCTTATCATGGATAATGAGTCTCAAGCCAGTGAATCATGTCTGAAATAGAGTCATGATTTTCCGGGAAGGATTCCTTTAATGGCGGTGAACTTCGCATCACCACTATCACTTACAAGCTTGATAAGACATTGGTGATTCGATCCCGGACTTTGCCTTTAAGAACGCTATAATAATGATGTGATTATGATTATCCTGTTCAAATATCCACATTTTATTGCGAAGCGCAATCATACGCAGGGAAAGACATGCATCATTTGAAGTGGTAGCTTATAAAACACGAGAAAATTTTGATCCTTCCTAAGTTGAAATTTCCAGAAGTGTTGTCGTGAAATAATCCTTCGAATTCGTAATCAAGACCATATCCCTCAAAGGCCTAGAAAATGCCTAAACCATGAATCTTCTACTAACAGCTGCATGATAAAGTCATTCATAAGCCCATTTCGATCGATTTCTCCTAGAACAACCACTACATTATCGTCGACACATAGTATACCATTAATTACACCCATCAAAATATATTAAAGGGAGGAATTCACGACAAGAATGAAGGTCAAATAAGGGGAAAATTGCATAGTTGGGGGACAGGCGGACCTTCGAGAGTGCTCACCGACGCGTAATTGGCAGCGAGAGATTTGACCTCGGCAATCTAGCAAGGCTCACTCTTGGCGGGGTACGCCCACCACCACCAAGGGCCGGGTGCAGCAAGCCCCAACGAGGGGATGGGTCCCCAAAGTTCTGTGTCTCCACTCTGTCGATGACGCAACTCTCGTGGTTAAGAATAGGGGAAGAGTCCAGAGATGCAGAGTTTAGGGGACCCATCCCCTCGTTGGGGCTTGCTGCACCCGGCCCCAAGTCACTCTAATCACTCGCCGCTGGTCTATATGAGAAAAGATTAGATAGCAGAGAGCGCGTAGATGCTCCAGAACGCTCAAGGGGAAGGTGTCCGCAGTGGTCAGGTCTACGATGCTATATGGGAGTGAGTGCTGGTCCCTGAACAAGAACCACAAAAGGCAGCTTCACTCCAATGAGATGAGGATGCTGAGGTAGGCCTGCGGCTGAACGCGGCTGGACAGGGTCAGAAACGAGGATGCAAGGGCGGTAATGCAGACTGCTCCTGTCCAGCTGAAGATGCGAGAGCAGCGCCTCCGATGGTATGGGCATGTGCTGAGGAAGCCAGGAGCATCCGGTCAAGAAAGCGATGGGCTTCGAAGTGCAAGGCAAGCGACCGCGAGGAGCCCCAAAGAAGAGGAGGTAAGCAAACCAGCCCTTTTGACGTTTCGGCTGGGACCGTATGCTGAATGCTGAGGCATGGGGTCCCCAACGGTCAACGGTTTACTTCGACTCGGTTGGTACGATAGGAGAGTACTGACGCAAGTGGTGTAGCTGGCCCAGCAGCTTCGCTAGAAGGGCTGGTTTGCTCACCCTAGGACTAAGCCTTGGAGAGGACGGACCCGTCCTCTCTTTAAGGCTTAGTTCTGAGGTAGGCAGAAATTGTGACGGTTCTAAGGACCGAGTTGAAGTGGTCCGTAAACCGTCGGGGACTCCATCCCCTCCAGCATACGGTCCCAGCCGCAGAGCCAAAAGGGCTGGTTTGCTTACGTCAAAGAAGAAGTGGAGAGACGTGATCAAGTAGGATCTAGGTGAAGTCATGGCCACAGCACAGGACGCCCTGGACAGATTAAAATGGCGACGACTGACAAAGACAGCGGACCGTGCGACTACGCGGGACTAACGCTATGGAGAAGAAGAAGAAGCAGAGAGCGCGTAGTATTGAAGAGGGCACTACGACGAGTGTCGCATAGATACGGAAATCTCTGGGCAAGGAAGGGGCCATTTCTCGGGTTTCGGGACATTTCAAATGGTTTCTTCTTCATCCCTGCTTCACTGACCACCTCTACCCTTCTCCAATTAGCTACCTTTTCGTCCAAATTCTGCCTTTAATCACCCGGAGGAGCTATGAATATGAAACAAAATGAGTTTTTTTCTTGCATTTTCAAAGCATTCTTTACCACCATTTAACACAGAGGATGGGAGAAGCCTTTTCCGAATGTGACACCCATCGACCTTTCAGACATTGGATGTCGCGAAATGCAATCTGACGCAGCTCGATCCCGAAACATTTGTCAATCAGAGGCACTCCCTGAAGACGCTTCATCTCCAGCGAAATCTCTTAAAAACGATAGATCCTAAGGTACGATTTCTTGTTTGTTCAGTGTTGCGCTTTCATCAACAAAAATCCTAGTTTTTCTCCGTTCCTCCCTTTCTTGCATACTTCCGTCTCGCCCCACAATAAGCATTAAAATGGTTACAGTCAACAAAATTTACAACATGAAAAATAAAAAAAAGATACGCTGAATCGAGACGGTAATCCTCCTTGATAAGTATCCTGCTTCGTTATCTCATTGACAATAGTTTGGATAAGAACATTAACACATTGACGACAACGCGGGGGATATATATCCCGCGCATTGCAGGCCGTGTCGGACCGTGCGGGGGATGTATCCCCCGCACCCACTACAAAATTTTTTTTTCGCGCACGCCTGGTTCTTCCAGAAGTTTCTTGTAATTATTGAATGGAGGAGACCTTGACCTAGCTAAAAACATAGTGGTCCATAGAATGGTCACGTATGCTTCGATTTGGAGGATTTCTGAACCATACGAAATCTTCAGCCTAATAAATTTTTCGTTTACTTTTTCTTCCTATGAATGTGAAGGTTTAAATAGTAGTAGAAGTAGATACGGTACCTTAGAGATGACAATATATGTGTTTTGATTAAAATAATCAACTCAAAATTGCCTTTGAAGTTCATTGCAGCTTGTTCTGAAGAATATCACTTTTTCATTATTATTCCATGTCTTTTAATAGAAATTCCGCTACTGTACCTCCGAGTAGGTTGTGCTCATTACAGTATATGGTTCTGGCCTTGTATTGATCATTATTTATGTTTTTATCAATCAAAATTTGCTTGAACAACCTGAGGCGGCGGCGCTCGCAAAAACGCCGTGGTCCCACGTGGCCAAAAGTGCCAAAACTCGCGTTGTCGTCAACGTGTTAAGAACGATAAGAACATGCATTTTATCAATGCAACAGCTTGTGATTCTCAAATTTTGAGACAGTGCTTCTATTCTCCCGTACAATTTTGGCACTAATCTGGCCATTTTGATAGCATGATACCTCATCTCTTGCCCTCCTGTCACTGTACCACCTCCGGCCCAGACCACTCAACAGCAACAAATGGGAGCAAAGTTAGGTATACAATTTGAAATCTCCAAGAGCTGGGAACTTTTCACGCAGCTGGTTTGATTGCTTTGCAATGATCAGTATCGGTTAGAGTCGCCATTTGAAGCCCAGGTCATTTGAGCAAACATATTGTTTCTTAGAAAATCGAGCATATCGAATTTATAAGACATTTCTCAATGTTCAGTTCGAGCATAAATAACTTCTGAATAGCAGAGTGCAGTTCCACGTATTGGAATATTCTTCAGATCATTGAAGAGCTCGAATCACTCGAACAGCTCGACATCTCCGGAAATCCGTTTCTCTGTGACTCGGAAATTTCAAAGCGTAGGTTTTATAGAACGATCCACATAAACTGCCCCGAAGCTCAGAGACAACTCAATGCTTCCAGTTATCTTCGCGATTGAGGATCGTTACAAGGTTGCCGCCAAACAAGGTAAAGAATTCCTTCTTGCGAGCGCTAACGACACTCTCTGTGACAGGCCTTACACGCTTCGACGCCAGCCATTATTGGACGTCGACTCTGACCAATTACAAGTTTGTGCTTAACCTGTTACATTGGGAAACACTTTCAACAAAAACAACACTAGGAAAAGTCTTTATAGCCTTACGAAGAAAAACTTGACACCACTACGACTCTGATGACCACTACTATCGCATCAATGACGACCACTGCAGAAGATACAACAACGTTTACTATAGTGAGCAGAAACCAGCCATTTCGTCTACAAAACAGCAAGGGAGCTTCTGTTTTAGCCGGACCTTTTTGTTGGCGCGAAAACTAACGACACGCTTTTCAAAGAGGAACCAAGACGTGAAGTCTACGACCTCAACAAAGCCAACGATCCAAAGGGCGCCATGGAACAACAAGAAGGTATGACATCAATTATGCATTGGACCTTTCTAATCAAAGCGGAAAACGATTACCACAAGGGGACAGCTCAACCCAGCTACCCACTTGACAATGCGTTTTGACCACTTTGAGCAATGCCCTGCTTTTTCTTCAGCTTACGTTAGCATACCTTTGATATTGCTAATCTCGACCAAGACTTGCGTCTCTAGACTGCTCCATATCTAGAGATGAATTTCTAATTAGCACGGCCTCTTGGGATACGCTTCATTCACACTTATTCATCCTGACACACTAGCAACCCGCTCTTGAGCTTGAACTTTTTCTATTCTAACACCAAATGGGGATTTTCAGTTTTGGGTAAGTTTCATTTTGGTGAATGCTTAATAAAGGTGGATGGGTTATAGACAATTCACGCGTGCTTTTTGTGATTAATGCTCTCCCTCTCCAAACTTGACCCAACATCTAATGGTAATTGTGTAGGGAATGCAGAATTTTTTGGCAGATAGAGAGATAGTCATAGCGCAAGTGTTAATTCGAAGAACCTTGAGCAGACCTTTTAGGAAAGAGCGGAGCCCCTCTACTTTTGACGCATTTGCAGCTTACATTGCATGACACATGAAGAGACAAGATACTTGGCATATTTCAGGGAACAAAACGTTCGCTGTAACGGCAACTGTGATCGTGATCGCCATCATCTCCATCATAGCAACTATAGCCGTCATGCTTTTCATGCGAGTAAGCGACATTTGAACTCGTAAACATTTTCACTTCTACGGCGCAGCAAGTGCATTGTCCACGAAAAATCAAAAAATTACAGTATGAAAAGCCTTTTTGAAGCTGCTCATTCATGACCATTGGGTAAAGTATAATGCTACAGAAGGTGACAAGAAGACGTGGTACTTTCAGGTTACACTCATCTTCATAATGTACAATTGTCGCACACCGTTTGCCCCTCACAGGCTGATTCTGTTCATATTGGTAGAAGAGGCAAAGGAGAAGGAGTTCTAAAAATGACATCTTTCCTCGATATAACTGAACCCATGAAGCCACCAATCCTTTTATCAGCAATCATCGCCACGAACTTATCTGAACCACTCTAATCGATTTTTCAAGGCTGAACACAGAGATGGTTAGATGGATTTGGGTACGCACCCCTTTCAACAGAAAGTTGTATTCGATCTCAATTAAGAATTGCAAAACGATTGGGTTCGACTATGTGATGGCTAATAAACATTAACCGACTTTCAGCCCCCACAACCATAATCAATCATGAGCTTAATACAACAACTACGGTTGACACAGATCGTACTGCTTTTTTCATTAGGATACATTACAACATCTGAATTTATCACCATCGAGATCCCTGAGAGTTCTTACTATTTTTGATATTTTAGTTGACCATTTTAAATGCCGTTTTCTGCTGAAGAAATTTGCAATTTCGTATGTCAATGAAACCACGGTCAGGATCAGGTGCCAGAAGTTAGTCCTTTCCTGAGTGGGGAAACCGGGCTAAAGGGTCCCCAAGCACCGAGTCCCAACTCAAGAGTGCGTGGCAAGGGTGCTAAGGCCTTGCCTTGTGTGCTGCCAGCGCTACACTGGTCACTCACAGCACACGTAGCGTCTGAGCCTTCTCGCGTACATGCGCTCTCTCGTGTTCTCCTCGCAGCGGTCTCTCCGTCATACCAGGCCCGACATCACAAGGGAAATTGCTATGCTTCCTATGGTGCTTCTTACTATTTCTCCCCGCTAATGTTTCTCATTGGACTTTTTGTCTAATTATCAAATATATCAGGTAGGAAAGAAAGTCCTACAACACTTTTTCAATTTTTTGATTTTAATTTTATCTTTTTTGTTTACAACTCCTGACCGGTCATATATCCACCATGGGTGCCCTCCACTTGCCTTCAGCGCTCGCAAAATTTCTCAATGCTCGTTTGCTAAAACCCAGCGGAGTGCGGGTCGAGAAAGAAGGCGACTTCACTTTCCAGCTGGAGTTGATCGTCTAATTATTTCGTCATCAAGATATGATTTGAGGTCCAGGATAGGGGCACTCAGTATAGGTCGACCAGGGGAATACGATAAAAGAGGTAAGAAATATTGTCGCAGCTCCAGAATTTCTTACGGACTCCTTTCGGATCATGCTTATTCGCCATGTCATGAAAAAAAATATAAATATTGTCGCGGTACGACGGCTCCTGACGAGCTGCCTCGGCCAGCTTCTCAAGTTCCACAGATTCGACCTCTAGCTACACAATGGCGCCCATAACGCAGAATTTGTATGGAGCTTCCGTAAGAGCCCTTCCTGTAATGGGGTGTGTAGGGCGCTGCTGGCTCATGAAAATATCAAAAGATTGAAAGCGCTGGTAAAGGTGAAGCACGCTATGGCTGGTGTCAGAGTCCGCGATTCGTCGCAGGTTTCGCTGATTTTCGCGATTTGCGATTTGCGCGAACCTGTGACGGATCGCAAAAATCGCAAATGCTCCATCTGAACATTTGAAAAACTGAAAATGAAACAAGTGGAATCATGAGCAGTTGTCATTCAGCCATCACTATCAAGCAGAATTGACGGCAGGATTGGAGAACACCTTGTAGTATTGATCGGGCACTTGTGATTTCGGTGACCCGTCGCGTGAATCGCACAAATCGCGTGAATCTTCTCACAAATCGCGCAAACCAGCGGAACCTGCGGCGGATCGCGGACTCTGACACCAGCCTATAGCGGTGAACGGCGTGCCTATTGAAGCAATTGCAGATAGTGTCGATCGTTGACATGAATTCATACTTATGCAGACATTTGTACTAGGCAGTGTCCGGAGCATGAATTTACCATTGGTCGAGGTTTTCTGAATTTTCTTGGATAAGTGTTGGCTGCAGCACTTACATAAATTGAAGCCTCGGAAATAAAGCCTCGGAAATGCTCTGTCATTTGTTAGTCATAAATGCTACCAAAGAATTTTTCAGAAAAAAAAGAAAATTTTAGAAAGTGTTGCAGAACTTTCTTTCCAACCTAGTAACTGGTCGAAAACATTATGACGAAAATGGCTGATGCTTGCAGCAGTTCTAGTGGTCGAGGTTTTCTGAATTTTCTAGGATAACTACTGATTGCAGCACTTATATCCAAATCGTGGATTGAAGCCTCGAGAATGTTCTACCTGTTACTCATAGATGCTACCTATGAATTTTCCAGAAAAAAAAGAAAATTTTAGAAAGAGCGTCGCAGAACTTTCTTTTCAACCATATAATAACAAATCAATTCGACCCCAACTCGTGTCTTTGATATATTTATTTTTTGGTTTCATCCCGTAGGCGAGGCGGGGAGGTGGGGGGACGTGACTTCTCTGTTTTTGCAGGAAAGGAAATCCCCGCGCAGTGCGTGAACCATTTCGCTTTCGCTTTTACACCCACTCCGAGGCTTGCTTCCCTTGTGAAAATTGAATTCACTTTGGACGATATGAAATAAGGAACCGAATGCCTCGCCTTGCTAAATGAGACCCTTATTTCAGAATGCTCATCTCGGGTTGACTAACAAAATCTACCGTTTTCAGAAAAAGCGAAAAATCGCCAACGCAGAAGGAGTGCACTCAAGAAAGAAATCGTCAAAGCTGGATGATGGTATGGTTGAAATCGAACTTGATTCCAGTGCACCAACAAAGAAATTATAAGATACACATAGTTATGGAATGGACAAGAAGGCGTTCTGTATTCAATGTGAACATAGTTATTATGGTTACAATACCTTTTCCAACGTCCTCTTTTTTATCATGCAGATTCGCTAACCGAGTTCTTTAAATTAATCTAGAATCGAATCCATCGAATTTACATTCTTGTCGCTCAACATTTCGGGACCATTGCTAGGCTTTGTACTTATAAAATGAAAATAAATTGCGCACGCCTTCCTACTGATGTGGGGAAACCTGCGCACTTTGCTTATAATAAAGAGAATACGCAAAACTCACGGTACAATTGTTATGTCGCCGAAGAGGTAGGCTTCCTGAAAGCACAACATGTAGATAGCACACATATACAAGAAAACACAAAAGAGTCTACTGGGGTGGCCGAAAAAAGAGACACTTTGTTCATGGCGCACATCATCGAACGTTTCGTCGTACAGCCAGACGATGTTAGTGGAAGTTTTACGGGAGTATATTCCTTAGGTGTTCCCCTGTAAACGGAAGCAGGCCTTTCCTCACTGCCCCCACCGTCTTCAGAATAAAACGTCATCTACCGCCACCGTCGAGCTGAACGAGGCTCACGGTAATCGCTCCGGCCTGAAGCTGCCATATAATTTTTTCAATGGATTTACTGTCGAATAGCATCCCAGAAACATTAGCTTTGACTATGCAAAACCGCTTTTGACCAGCGTTTCTGGGACGTCGTAATGGTCTATGGTACCTCAACGACCTCGTTGAGCTCGTACGGCGAACCATGTTTCCGTGGAAAAATCTTCTGATGACGTCGCTGTAGAAGGCTGTCATGCAACATTAACATAGATTATAATGTGCTCTTCAATACTGAGTTGGAGGCATTCGATTTGATATCAGCAAAGTGTGATTAATGCTGTCTGAAATTTGAAGTGAAGTGTCTCTTTTTTTGGCCACCCCTGTATATTTTGTTAATTCTCAATACCAGTTCAGCTCCGCACGCTACCGCGCACGTGACACGGTAGCCTTCTCGATATCCTGGAACCTTAGGTCCCACCGCTGAAGAATGCAACTTCAATTTGCATCGGAAAATGCCCTAACTGACCTTTTCGCTTCTCATTTTTGCTGAAGCTCACTGCTCGATACGCGCGATAGTGTGCACAGCTAAATTGGTCTATGTAAACAACCACTATGCGTAGAAGGTCAGTGTAATTTAGCGGTCGCAAGATAGATGCTAATAATATTTCAATAGAAATACCCAGTGGTCATTATCGTATTTCTTTGCATACACCATACATTCCTACGGCAGAGTAGCGGTCAAACGGAGTTGAATACGATGGAACGCGATGAAGTAGAAATGAAATGAGCTGGTTCTACTCAAGTATTTGGTTTTCGGGCAATTACCCTAATTTCCGGTAAATAAGCCTGCGCGATTTCACGACCACCTCCACTCGTGCCATTACGAATATGACAATAATTTTCGGCGCTGGCGCTATTTGGCGCCTATTTTCTGCTCGTCTGCGCTCTCCAAGCGAGAAATATGCGCTGTACAATGTTGACGCGAAGAATGAATGTCATATTTGTGATCAGGGTTCCAAATAACCCCTTAAAACGATTTTGGTGAGAACAAAGGTCGTGACAAGGTGACGCCAACTGGCGCCAGATGGCGCCACCGCTAGAAACGAATGTCGTTTTCGCAGCACATCGAATTACCCCTATGGCTATGTTACGGTTGACTTTAGATGTACCTAAGTGCACTGCGCCAACAGAGGTGTTTTTACGTGATATTAGCGCGGGCTTATTTACCGGAAATTAGGGTATGTTCTCAAGTATATCGTCACTATCAACTCTTATCAATTTGTGACCCCACCACATATGTTCCCGTTCCACTCGATACATAACTTCTTGGAACTAACGCCCCACTGCTGCTGCGACGTGCGCCATTCGTGAAATTTGCGTTCTAACGCCTCTTATTATCTCTTATCAGTCGTTATCACTATGTGAACCCCATCAGATATTCCCGTCCTGGCCCCTACATCATATTAAAAATACAGCGCTCCATGGCTGCAGCGAAACGCGCTATGAATTTCATGATAAACGGAAGCACACAACATGACAACACATACACACATACACACACACTTAGCGAATTATAGGATGAATTAGTAGGATAGACAAGTGTATAAAAAAGAATGGAAAATATACCGATATTCTATAGTGCAACTGAATACTAAAGCAACTAATGACATACAGGCAAGGTTATTGCGCATGAAGGATGCACAGGTGAAATGTGGGTCAAAGGAGCAGAAAAAGGAAAAATGGTAGGAAACATTAAAATTGAGAGCGCTACTCTCCAGAATATGGGTAAGTCTGCGAGACAGACAGTCTCAAACACGGTTCTCGCCAAGATGGGAGAATTGTTGGAAGGCAAGAGACCATATGATACAAGCGGGAGGCCGACACATCCGCAACACTGGTCGTGCATGCCTAACGGGGTAGGAAAGCCCTCAGTGAGAATAATGAATGATTATGCTTTACGATCCAAAAATAAACTATATTGCAAGGAGGACAGCAGAGAATATCAGCGCTATGTTTGGCTTAGTCTCTGCTACTAATAGGGTATCGAGCTAGTAGTCCAATCATAACGGCAAAGGCCAAACGATTTGTAAAAATCAACCTCATGCTGGGCCTGGGGTCACTTTGATGAGAGCTCCCTCTACCGCTGATTGGGAGTGTATTCGGACGTTACTACCAGGGTATTGAGCAGATACATGGGCGCAGCCGATGCAGCAGCACGCGCCATCAAGATGGAAAGATCTGTAGAAGAATGAAGTCTTGATGGAAACCATGTGGTCACGCCGACCATGAGCGAGAAGCACGCTCGACCACGTCAGGCAAATTCATTCTGCGACGGCAAAAGCAGAGCCTTCCCCAATAGGTCACCAGTGGAGATGAGTCATGAGTCCACTGCGACAGCAACACGCGCCATGCCCGATGACTACCTCGCAGCCAGGAACCACCAGCTCAAGTCCGAACTCCGTATTCTGAGAATATTACTCTCGATTTATTATATTTGCTGGGTGGCCTGGTATGGGAACCACTTCACTGTATAAAGACAAGCATTGCCAAAGTCACCATGGAATAGGCCCCCATACCGGCCCCTTTGGTATTGCGAGGGAACCGTCAGAAACGTCTAGGATCCCCTTTCTCCGAATGGACTCCGACCTCACACTGCAATGTCGACTCGACACTTTATAAGCCAGGGCTACGATTACTCATCCACCATATAGCGCTGGCATCGCTATCGGACCATCGCCTCCCCTGCGTCCTGAACCAGCATATGCGACAGAAAAATTCAAGGATTACGACAACCCCAAAAACGACTTCTCCAACTTCTTCAACCCCTAGCTTCTTTCATCTAGGAGGGAGCTTTCAAAGGTTTCCTACCAAATGCATGAGCAGTGACCATGATGGGGGTTATGCTGCTGATCAGCTGCTTCCTAAAAGAGATAAAACTTGAAAAACAAAAATGTTAAAATTGGGACAGGAATCATGAGATAACCCAATAATATGGGACGCGGTCAGGGGATAGATCCAAAAAGGCCTCACCGTCTACTTTTGCAGCGTAGTCGTAGGCCATACCGAGAAGAGAAGTGCTATACGGAACGAAATGCACCGCAAAAAGTTGTTATAGGAGATGCGATAGCAGAGGCGTTGCCGGTTTGGCTGATCTCGTCAACATAAATTTGGCTGCGAACGACGGCGATTCGGATATAACATGGCGACCGAATCAGACGTCTGAGATTGGAAAAAGTGGTTCAGCATCGGTTTTGATAACCGCCCGTTGTCGAAGTCTGTGTCTTTAGTACAAGATTAACACCTCTGCCTCGCGTCTCGACGACAATGAAGGAAAGTTTATTATAGGAGGCCCATAATAGTAATAGTAGTAATCCCTACTATAAATAAATGCGCTAAGTCTGTCTGTCTGTCTGTCTGTCACAAAATTCCGTATTAAGCGGACAACAACCTACTGGGTCCAGGTCAATTTTGGAATGGGTGTGCCATATCTTGAGAAATAAGAAACATACATTACCTAAGCGGAGCCCCGCCCACAGTGGGCGTGGCGTGCGTCGAAATAAGTGGTACTGAGGACCATAATTTCAAATCTAGTCACAACACAGCCTCGAGACCGGGGACAAAAGTGGGTATAGGCGTGCGTTGGTAAGCCAGATTGAATTGAGGAGACCCACCCTCGGTGGGCGGGGCGCTCTCTAAAAAAGCGGTGCTCAGTGAAAATATTCATAACTCGTTTAAGAAGAAGCCTACAGGTCAGAAACGAAATTAGTGCAGGGGAGCAATGCCTAAGGTATTTACAGCACGCATGATGTGAACGGAGGCCCGCCCACAATGGGCGTGTCGTGAAGCGGGCAGCGTTTTCTACAAGAGCTCATAATCGGCTCCAAGATGCCTTAGAGACCGGAAACAGCAAACAGAGGTCAGAAGGGAGGGGAAGCTAAATGTCAGGGATGGGCGTGGCTTACATCAAAATGGGCAAGTTTGCAATTAGGCTTACAACTCGGCTCCTAGGAGTCCCGGGGTCCGGGAAAAAAAGCGTATAAGTGTTCAGAGGAAAATGGGTCAACCGTTGTTGGTGGGCGGAGCATGCACCAAAGTGGGCGGGATTTGCCACGGTTCTTCATAACTCGGTTCCAATAAGTTCCAAAGATGGAAAAAAGTAGAAAAGGTTAGGGAAGAGATGATAGTCAACTGATATCAGTGGGCGAACCATGCACCAAAGTGGGCGGGGTTTGCAACAAGGATACGTAGCTTGATTTCGTCCCCTACAAGACCTCATAATTCTGCTCGGAGACGACTTAGATACCTGAAAAAATGTGTATTATAGTGAGAGGAGGAGTACAGGTTGAATGTGAACGCAGGGCGTGGCACACCCCGAAATGGGCGGAGTTTGACATTACTCTCATACCTCGCTTCCTAGAGGCCCCAGCGCTCGGGAAAAAAGT